TCTAAAAATCACTCCAGAGCTCCAGCTTTCCGTGGAGAACATTGTCCCATCCACGTTCACTTTCACGAAACCCCTCCAGTGGGCGTTGCCAGCTAAGAACTTCGAAGAGACCTGTCATTGGACGTGTCATGGGTCTCTGGGTGAAATAGAAGAGGACACAATGTAGGTGTTTACCCATCGAGGAGGATTCTTGGGTTGTTCAGATATTTCATTGAAGAGTCCGGATCTGTTTCTTAGGTGCGCACCTCACATCGATCTTACAGTATGTTCTTATCGCACATTGGGAACATCTTCCATTCTTGAATTTATTATTTATGGGAAAATGTTTCCAATACAGAGTGGAATGTGACTGTGAAGTAGTGTGAAACATGCTATGTGAAGAACAGATCCCAAATCTTCATTGAACTACTACCCAGCATTTTCTTTTTGCCCCTTTGAAGTTTTTAACTTTTTATACTACATTAAATACTACTTTATTTATTAACGTATTAATTTATTCTCCTCAAAAATCATAAATCTGTATCGGAATTTTTAGAATTCTTCTTCTAAATAGATGCAATCCCTGTAACATTTTGAACTCACTCTAAGTATGATATCCACAACCTTCTTGTATATTTTGCTAAATTCTGCACTACTGAAAAAATGCACCCAAACTATAGAATTTGGAGACTAACAGAATTTATAAACCCAATTTTTTCCTCAAGGCTTAGTTTGAAAAGAATATAGATATGTACAGTGCAAATACAAAGTTTTGCACTCTACACATTTATATTTATACTCCTTCCAAACTGAGCCCAAATGTCAAATTCACCCTGATAACTAGTTAAGTAATCCCCTGTTATTGTAAAGTAGTAATTAAGGTGGATGCAAATTAGAAAGCCTCAAAACGCAATGAGCTTGATATTTGCACCTTTATAACTTTGTTTCTAATTCATAAGATTATCTGTTTGTCAAACTCAACGCGATGAAACCCTTTTCTTCTTCTTCTTCTTCTTCTTCTTTGTTCCATGGGGCTGCACAATGAGGGTAGCCTATCCCTCAACCCTAGTTGAAGCGGGATTCAATTCCAATCTCTCCTACAATTAATCACAAACCTTACCAATCAGCCAGTTGAAACCTTGCACTCAAGGTATTCTTCACCAGCTGATTTGAAGTTTAGGCTACATTTGGCATTCCTTATTTTAAAGACTTTTTATTATTAAAATGCTCACCGAGTTTTTCATGGTTTTCAAAATTGGACCAGACTGGATGGTTGGACCGAAAAAATCAGGTAATCAATTTCGGTTCTCCCCAAAACCAGAAATTTGCTCAAAACCGTTGATTTTGGTCAGTAAATCACTGACCCAGATGGTTAATCGTTCGAACGGTTTTGACCATTTTTTATTTTTTTTAAATCTTTTTTTTGTTAGAATAGACCGACCATTCGGTTCGAACGGTCAAACCATTTGACCTGGTAACCAGACCCCTGACCAGTTCAGTCCGAATCAGTTTTAAGAACCATCGAATTTTTAACTGCAAAAGGGAAATAAGTTGTTAAAATAAGGAATGCCAAAATGCAGCCTTAATCCATATTCCGGTGCTTACAAGGGGAGTGCCCATGGACAAGGAAGCATGATCCCAGTTCTGAAACTGTGACTGTTAAGTCTGGAAATCAAAAGCCATTGGCTTTGCATTTGAGTGGGACCAAACACTCACATGTCTTGTTTTCTTAATGTGTTGGGTAAATAAAGCCAAATTTGGTGGAAAGCAAATGCAAATGCAAATGCAAATACCCCAAAATAATAAACAAGTGGAGGAGGCAGAATCCCCAGCCAATGACATGAGAGACACCGGATAATTTCCCATCTAGCCCAGAAGATGCAGGCCCACTTTTGTCATGACAAACCCAAGACATAAGCCTACCCCAGCTACTGTTGCCCACATTTATATTATTTTATTTTATGCTATAGATTGTAATTTTTCTGAATATTTTATATGTTTTAATTTAAGTAAAGGCAAGTTGTAGCTAAAGGTCTTGTTTGATTGATATTATATTTATTAGTATTAAATAATATTCATTTTAAGGGAAAGGGAAACACGACAATGCCCGATGGATGCATGTCTGCTCCCTCCATTTTTCTAACCCTTCCAAAGACCAAAGCCATTATTTTATCAATACACCGCGGATGGATGCATCTGGCAAATAAATCAGACTCAGATCATTGGCAATGGCAAAAGTCAGAGATCGGCTTCTAACGGCCTTTACCCTAACTGAAGCCAAACTACAAGAGTCAGATCCCGCACAGCCTTTATAATCTTGCATTTAGAATACATGACGAAATATTTACAATGCACAATTACGAAAGGCGGCGATTGGAACGGTGTGGGTCCAGCATCTCGATCCCGTCATAAGTTTCCAAGCTAATGAGTCATGAGACCTCTACGCTTTTCAAAGTCCAAAGTTCACCCTAAACCAGGATGTACTTGTACCAATTCATCCTTGTTTTTTTTTATGCTGTTTATTTATATTTCCTGAGCAGTGTGATTTCATAAACAATATGGCAAAATTAAAGAAAAATAATAAATGGAAGCATTAAATGGTAATGGACTGGACCCTCACTAGATGGGGACTCACCGACTTTGTAGCTACATAACGCCGTCCACTATTAGGCAAGATTTCAGTTTAAAAATGTGTTTGATTGACCTATAAATGATTGGACATTTAATGTGTCCATTTTTATTTAAGCAATATTAACACTGTTCTGTTTTTATCAATTCTTAATGTATCACATGATTCACATCAAACGGTGATATAAAAATCCTCCTCCTTCTGCATTAAATGTGATCCATCTCAGAATTGAGATCCATTTCTATCAGCGCAAACCTGTGTTACAATAATAATAAAGGCTACTTTAATAGGTTTTGTCCTGACTGAAGTTGAATTTCTCAGAATTTCGGGTCGGGTCAGTACCAAGACGGAAAGATTCCAAATGTGTCTACAGGGGATTGGCATAAATATATTTAAGAAACCAATAAAACAATTCCAATGTGGACTGAATTCTAAAAAAGCCATTTTCATATAGGTATTGGAGGTATTCCTGAGGTGAGACTGAAATATATTGGGAAGTAGGTATAAAGAAAATTTGTGAGTAGGAAATCCGAATTCATATTTTTTATATTATATAGTCGAACCCGAAAAAATACTGACGTGGCAAGTGAAACAGGTACCATGGCTATATTTTTAAATGAGTCCATGACCATTATTGCGTTGCCTAAACCAATCAGCTTTTTGATAAAATGCCCCTTTTGCTTTGCTCCTTGCTCTGCTGTTTTTTTATTATTATTATTAAAAAAAAAAGTGAAAATTAAAATCCCTTTCTAGGCTGTCACATATAAAAGTTTCTAATAACAACAATGAAACACTTTAAATGCAACATGGGCGTTGTCTCTACAAACTTTAAATGCGATGGACATGAAACATATAGAGTTATGCCAAAAACCCTGTGAATGTGTGAAAGTGAAAGAACAACTCTCTCTCTCTCTCTCTCTCTCCAGTCTCCACCATCCACCCCACTTAAAATCTTAAATATTTAAGTAGAACTCATCCATCTATCTGATTCTGAATTCTGATGATAGATTGAAACCCTGAAAACATGAGACAGGTGGCTAGAGTTATGGAGGCCCTACACACGCCTCTTATGCGGGTCTAAAACTAAAATCCCCAGTTTGGCCTAAGTTAAACTAGTAATGTTTCAGAACTTCCGCGTTGGATGGGTGGGGCATGGACAGGACACAACCTTTGGGTTTGGAACATATTTATTTGTTGTACTACTGTGAATATTAGATCGTACCTTGCAGGTTTATATATAAAAAAGATTAGTCACGGTTAAAGCCCTACGGATGATCAAAGGATCTACCCATTTATTCCAACCTCCGATTTCATCGTTAGTTAAACCACGGTAGCATTTTTCATGTTTTTGGGCCAATATGAAAAATATCAGGCAAAATCATACCGGTGCATTTTATGGAAATAGCCGCAATATAAATCAACAGTGTATTAAGTAAGTAAACCATGCATGTATAGTGTTAAAAGATAAAATAGACACCATGTGATGTGATCGACTCAAATATTTATCATCATGCCAAAATGTTTGTGATTTTCTTTTATACCCTGTATGCTTACATGTGCCTTGTAAGATGGCATCAGGTAACAAAAATAGTTCATATGTATTGTTTCATTTCTTCATTAATCTCATTGTTGCCCTCTTCTTCTTCTGAATATATCAATTTTAATTAACTTTTACAAAAGACATACCTAAGAAACTAGATAATGGGAAAAATGTAGAGGGGCAAAACAGGACAAATGAAGAGTGCTTCAATCAAGTGGTCCTTAATAAATTTTGAAACGTCAACAAAATATATATATATATATATATATATATATATATATATATATAGTTTTTGAAACTACATGGTGTACGTAAGTAACTTACTCAAACCACTAATTATCCCTAAACAATTTTCACTAGGTTTACTCAGTTGGGAGCCACATGACATACCTGGTGGTTATTGGCGATGTTGATATATGCGGGTCTTATGTATGACATTTGGAACTGCAAGAATTAACAGCTACCTTGGGTTGGATTGCATGGATAAAAGGTTTTTTAAGGTAAAATACTACTTTAAAAAATGGACTAAAATTTATCTTACTGTTTGAAAAAACCACTAAAGTACCCCCATTGATCAAAGGTTTTATTAATTGATTTTTCAAATAATAGAAAAGTTTTAGCTTTTAATCCATTTTTAGTTTAAATATTTTTACCTTTTTTTACAACTATTTAAAGTTAAAGGTGCTTATTTATTTATTTATTGTAGAATTTTCAGTAGCCACGTGTCAAAAAGTTCACGGGGAACACGTAATAATTTTTTGATTTCTTTATATGTCACGCTTTGTTTTCAATTCCTCCTTTATAGCTGCTTTCTTTTAACGATTGAGTTATTAACTAGACAAAAAAGAAGACGCACTCACGCACCCACCAAAAAAAAAGGAGGTTCCCCGTTCCCGTATTGGCCTCGCTTCCGTGTGCGAGCGCGTGGTAAGAGAAATTACAGCCAGTTGTAGCTATCCAGCTAAGCGTGGACTCGCCCAGCAAAAGCCACTGATTCCTTTCTTTTATCTCTCTTCCGGTTTTCCCCCTTTCTTGCTTTCTCTTCCGCAGTTAAGCCTCCTCCTCGGACCACCATGCCTATGCCCTCTCTCAAGAAGCCTCCATCTCCTCTGCTTTGGTTGCCACACAAACTATGACGTTACACCTCAGATCTACTACACACATCCACAACAAGCATCAGATCTGGAGTCCCACTGCTCGCCACGATGGACTCCGAGCAGCGCCGGAAGCGAAAGCGCCTCCCCATCAGACCCTCCTCCCCTTACTGCTCTCTATGGCCCCTTGTTTTGTGTTTTTGTTGCTTTGTCTTCTTCGTTTTCGACGGCTTCTCCATTCGCTCCGCTGCTTTCCGGCCTGTTCTCATACCTTCCCCTCTATCTTTTCTCTCTTTGTCTCCGACCAATTCACTTCAAGATTCTACCCCTCGATTCCGTCAATTCAAAATAGAGGATCGAGTCGTATTCCCAGACCATGTTTTGCTGCTTGTCTCCAGGATTGGTACTAGTACTAGTAGTAGTAGTCATACTCATAGAAGCAGCAGTAGTAGCACTAGTAGTGTTAGGAGAAGCTCCTCTCTGCTGCGTCTGCATCAGGACGGAGGATTGCATTGTGTCTACCATCATATCTTGAATTATTCGGATAACGTCGGCGGGAAGAGAAGCCAAATCTCTGTTCCTGTGTTGTCGGTGGACAACTATGATGACTCACGATCAATTGTTCGGTGTCCGACTCCTCCGGCAAATTATTCAACTGCTGTCAATTTGAAGAAGAAGGTGCAAGACAGAAATGATGACGATAGGTACTTTTCACAGACGGATCGGTCAGTTCACTCGTGGGAGACGCTGGTGTACGCTGCAGCTTTGGATAGGAACTCAGCTGTTGTGTTTGTCAAAGGTTTGAATCTTCGACCCGACAGGGCGTCGGATCCAAGGCAATTCAGTTGCCACTTCGGTTTGGGGGATTTGGATAAAGGAAGCAGGTTGTTTGCTTTTACCAGTAGGGCGGTTACCGCGGCTCAGGAAGTAATTCGGTGCTCTCTCCCTCTTACCATTCGAAAGAATCCCGACAAAGCTCGGGGAATTCGAGTCACCATAGGTGTTGCCTCCCATTCCAACGTCCATGGCAACCACCGGGCCGCATTGGGAGGTGGAGATGGAAGCAAAGCTGCTACTCCTCTCGCTCCTTTGCCTTCGGTCGCTAAGATTTTTGACTTTAACGACTCACATGGCAAGAAGAAGAGAAGGGTGAATAATAAAAATAATAATAATAGAAAGAAGAAACATGAGCTCTGCCTGTGTACCATGGTCTGGAACCAAGCCTCAACACTTAGGGAGTGGATTGTCTATCACGCCTGGCTTGGGGTCGAGCGCTGGTTCATCTATGATAACAACAGTGACGACAATATCAAGGAAGTGATAGACGAACTCAAAAAAGGAAATTATAATGTCAGCAGACACGCATGGCCATGGATCAAGACCCAGGAGGCTGGATTCTCCCACTGCGTTCTCAAGGCCAGGGAGGCATGCGAGTGGATTGGATTCATGGACGTTGATGAATTCTTCTACTTCCCCTTCCCCACTCCTCACCACCGCTCCATGGGATACCCAGGTCAGCACTCACTCCGATCACTGGTTCAACGTTTCTCTTCTTCCAAGGTCATTGGTGAGATCAGGACAGCCTGCCACAGCTTTGGGCCATCAGGATTGAGCACACCCCCTTCCCAAGGAGTGACAGTGGGTTATACCTGTCGGCTCCAAAGCCCCGAGAGGCACAAATCCATTATCCGTCCAAATGCTCTAGATGAGACCCTACTCAATGTGGTGCACCATTTCCGGTTAAGAGCTGGGTACAGATACCTAAACCTACCCCAAAGCACTGCTGTGATAAACCACTATAAGTATCAGGTTTGGGAAGCCTTCAGAACCAAGTTCTTTCGAAGAGTTGCCACCTATGTTGCAGACTGGCAAGAAAACCAGAATGAGGGATCCAAGGATAGGGTACCTGGACTGGGTACCGAGGCCATTGAACCACCCAATTGGCCGCTCCAGTTTTGCGAGGTCTGGGACACAGGTCTCAGGGACTTTGTCATGACTAACTTGGCTGATCCTATTTCTGGATTGCTGCCATGGGAGAGTTCTCTTGTGTAACAAAAAATTCGTCGTCATGCAACTTCTCTGCCTTTGTAACATATAATCACCAACCATTCTTTTCTTTTCATTCTTTCACCTTTTGTCACTGTTTTTTTTTTTTTCATTTGCCTGACGAAATCAGAAGCCACAAACAGAGAAAGAGAGGTTTTACACTATTGCAATTCTGCAAGGATACATGATTTATCCTTCTTGTACTCCTAGAATGATTTTATTTATTGATTCATTTTCAATTTCTATTCTTCCTGTGGCACATGATCAAATGGAATTCATTATTTGGTCAGATTCCACGGCCCAGAAGCTCAGCTACCATTCAATAGATTTCATCTTCCTAACTATTTTAAGCCTCCGCCATTAAAACGGTAATCAAATTGTGAAATCACATCTTTTAGCACAGAAATGTTTTTTTTTTTTTTTTCTTTTGGGTAGGCAGCGCGGAAATAATGTACAAACAACTACTAATACGGCAGGAAAATAGCAAAATAATTCTCAACATAACATGTATGTTTGTCAGAAGATGAAGCCATGGGTATCAAAATCCCATTTGCAATGAAATGAGAACGGGATATTATGCTTGGCCTCAAAAATGAAAATGCCCATTAAATCAAGCATAGTTCACGTTCTCTCACTTGACTGCAACAAAACAGTCCAATTTCTTAATGGTTCTGCAAAAACTGATCTATTAATGTGAAAACTTCTTATAAGCTACAGAAAACACAGGTACGGAGAATAGTTGCATGGCATCCAAAAGAATCTAAAAAAGGCTGCTTCCTGAACAAAAAGAAACTAATAACCAAAACCATACATTAGCAGCGTTTTATCAGGGTTCCATAAAATCGTAAATGGTATCAACTAAAGTTACTATACCAGACGTATCACGTCTGGGTTCATACATAAACCATTGAAGGGTTAAAAAATCAATATGAGAGAGAAAATAAAAGGTTACATTGTAATATTTAAGAGAAACAAAGTTGAAAATGTTTGGCCACAAAGGGAACTACCCTCACTGGTTTTGCTCTTGAGATTTCTCCTTGTCAATTTTCTGCGGAACATAAAGAAAGCAACAAGCTGAGTTAAGGGAATTCCTACTAATAGTAAGCAATCATACTAGGAAAGTTGCCAAAATAACATCAATGTGGTAAATATGGCTGGGATCTACTAAGAGATTATAAAAAAGAAATTCTTTAGTTCAACACAAAGTCTGATATCAGAGGAACCAAATAACAGAAATCCAGTGAATGAATAAAAATAACCACCAAATAGAGCCTGGATCCCACCAGCAATACATATAAAAGCTCACAACCACAATATGAATAAAAATGTTTGACTGTAATTAAAAAATGATACTGGGGTAAACAAGTATTACCAGATAGCCACAAACAAGTTGCTGACTTCAAAAATGGCAACAGAGCAATGCAGTTTTTATTAAATATACAGAAGAGGATAGAGGTAAGAACCCCCCCCCCCCATCACAGCCCCTCATATCCATTCTAAGTTCTTTTTTATGTTTTTTTTAAGTCCCCAAGTAAGGCATGCAACTTTGACAGAATTACAAATTCAATTTACTGCATATGATGTCCTACCAAAGAGTTAGGATACCAAATCAAAGTCAAACTTAACCCTACATCATGCCCATGCAATGAACAGTACTAAGAGACGGGATTGGTGGTTATATCTGGAACAAAATTGTTGGGAAAAGAACAACTTGGATGAAGTTAATAATATATAACAAATTCACGCATGTATATACCCCAATCTTAAAGTCAAAGTTAGACGGGGATAATACACGTAAACTTAATAAAGACAAAAAGATGAAAAGCCAAGTCTAGATGGAAAGCTAGGCAAGATATTAGGATCTTAGAATCTTCCATAGACAGATTAGCTTCGTTGCGTTTTCAGGAGTTCAAATCCTCTATTACTATGAAAATGGGAAAGTCCCTGTTCTAGGAGCGATATCACAAGACATTAATAAGCTGATATTTATCCTTGCCTCTTACAATCCATCATTGTTAGGAATTGCATTTGACCGTCCATTTTTGTATTCCTGTTACTGTTGTCATGTAAGGTTCAGAATCCAATTTCAGCCACTTTAGTACATCAACCAACTAGCCAAGATTAAATATTGTTCCATTTCTTGATACAAATGCATAGAGGAAAAACAGGACTATTTTTTATCAGTAACACATTAAAATTTTGTTAGTATCTGTATAAAAGAATGGTTTAAAACTACTGCACCAAGCACCCCCAAATGGGTAGCTAGCCTTGGCTAGGCACCATTTTTATTTTATTTTTACAAATTCACCCTGGGGGAATTAAAACCAGTACATCTGATTTCTGTTTACCCACCCAGTCCCCAGATAGCTGGAACCTTTTTCTTTTTGTTCTTCTTTTTTTTTTTTTTTTGATATCTTTTGAAGCGCTACACAACAGGGGGTAGCCCATCCCCCAACCCATAACCCCCCAAATGCAGGTGCAGGTGGGATTCGATCACAAGTCTCCGCTACAACTAGCAGGAGACCTTAGCAACCAGCTGGTTGGCACCTTGCCAGATAGCTGGAACCAATATTGAGTAATGGCTGGCCCTGTCTATGTTGTTGGCTGATCATGATGTCTACTTGTATCTTATTCTAAACTCCAAAGCTAGCTTTTTTATCTACCTAAAAGCATGTCTCTGTTCCCATGGACCAACGTAATCGCATCTCAAACAACCTATGATCACACATGAATCCCCTTCAATCTTGGTATCTCTGTAGTTTAGAGAATTTGCTATCCTTAAGCCATGTAGAACTACTCAGAATTCTGTGTTGATTGAATCACCAAACCTAAACAGGCCCCAAGTAAACAGCTAAGATGTTTCCTTCCCAAATGTCTGAAAACTTCAAAAGGTCCTGGATTCCCTATGCTATTGCTTCAGCATCAAGCTCATACTTATGATGTTCAGGGAATGGAGACTCCAAGGGATAGAGGGTCTATGTTTTGCCATCAAGAAGGACACAACATTCTTCCCAAACAGGTCTGTGCTATGTTTTGCTGAAGAGGAGAATGTTATGCACTTGATGGTCCAATGCATCTTTGTGAAAAGGATCTGGTCCTTCTTCAAGCTCTTTAAGGTGACTGGATGGGCACCAGTGGACTCTGCTGGAATCTTTGGTGAATGGCCGAGAGTTGTGGGAAGTACTAAAGCAAAAATATTCTGGAGCTGTCCATTTGCTGTCTGCTGGGAGATTTGGAGGGAGAGAAACAAGAGGATTTTGAAGGGAGAATGAAAATCTTGGAAGAAGTTGGGGCAGCAATGTTAGGAACCTGCCTAACTCAGGGCTCTTCGAGGGGCCAACCTCCTGAATTCTTGGAAGGAGAGAGAGAGAGAGAGAGAGTTTAATGCTGAAAGAATCATTCCCTTATTCCTTTTCTGCTCTACTACTTATAGTTTTACAATCTTGATTGTTACAGTTGTTACAAGTGGATGGCAGTTGTTGTTACAAGTGGATGGCCGTTGTTACAAGTGGATGGCAGTTGTTACAAGTGGATGGTTAGTTGTGCTGATGTGGCCTCCTCTTGTAAAACTGATTATCTGCCTTCTGTTCCTCTTGTAAAACTGATTAACTGCCTTATGTTGGTCTGTTCCAGCAGTCTTGACAGGCAATCTCTTCATTATCTATTGTCTGGATATTGGTACTTCCAGAATTTCAAGGACTAAAGAAATTAGATTTCGGTTCTGACTTTTGGCATACATTGAATGTTTAAGATTGTCGGTTTGGTTTATGTACTCTGTTTTTTGTTGTTGTTTTATTGGGGTGACTCCTGGCCACCTGTGTTAGTGTGTTAGATGTATCTTTTATTTTCAGTAATAAAATTTTCTTTTTTATTTATATTCAAAAAAAAACATTCTTCCAATTCCTTATTATGTCATCAACAATGAAAGAAGCTAAAACATCCATAGTCTTCACCCAATCTGCCACTTTAACTGTAATGTCCTCTAAATGGCATCCCTTCTCTTGGATCCGTCCTTGAAAATTCTCACATTTCTCTCTTCATAAATGCACCAGAACATTGCTACCCACATGGGGAGCAAGGAATGGATAACTTTCCAAAGGGAAAAATAGGACCATTTTCTACATGAAAATCTTAACTTTCTCCACTGTGAAAAATAGGACCAGTATTACAAGAATTCTCCTAAATGCACAAAGTATCTGTATCATACACTCCATGAAAGCTTCATGGGACACTTCTGCATATGGTTTTCCTTTTTTAACCTTGCTTTATACAACATAAACATCTAATAAACATTAAACACAATGAAATCCATCATTTCTTATAGAATGTTCCTAGATTAGGAAGATAAATTTCTAGATATACTCAGGTAGTCTTCTATAGGAATATGATGATAGAACTCACAATATAGAAATTCTTTAGAAGTGAATTGATTTTGAATGCGTTTCTGAGTAGATGTTTTTCGTCTTTCTGAGTCAGACTACTGATGACCATCAGATTCTGATTCCTCTGTCCATATCATGCAATACTGCTACAGGATAGGGTTTGTATTTATCAATAAGAAGCTTAGTGCATAGGTTTATGGTTCCATTGAGGCAGTATTTGATTTTGAGACATGGGTTTAACAGTTCCAAACATATTGTGTTACAGCTCCACTAGAAGTAAGTTGTAATGGGTCATTTGTAGTAGAGATGGGGTCTTTTCAGTCCCTACATGATTCAATTCCCGGTAACTGAACATGGGCAAATATTTGAAATTTGACAATCAGTAGCAATTTCCATCTGATTAACTCCATTTACGAATTTGGATATAAGAGTTATAACATCGTTTAGAGGAAGCAAGAACCAAGAATATTTGGCAGCTCCATAAACTGGTAGCTCCTTAGAGTGTGTGAAAAGATAATTTATGGATCGATGTACGTAACATGATGTTCAGAATTAACAAGAATTTGATGACCCAAACAGATATGCAAAAAAAAAAAAAAAAAAAATCCATTGAGTCATTCTATTTCGGAATATCTGCCAAGTGGGGATGGGGCCATATACTATGATCCTTTTTATACTAACAACACCCTTGGAACTGATAAGTTCAGTCCACATAAGCAGGAAAGAAGAGAGAACGAAGGTACTCCCCTCCAATTGCCAATTGCTTGTTTTATTCGAATAAAGGAAAGCTCAAAATGCCATGTCCAATAATCTCCAACACAGCAATTGAAAGCAAAAAGGTGACATAGGGATATTAGGTATCATATCAATAGTTCTTCAATATCAAAAGGCTCAGTGTTGAAGTTTTCTTGTTTTTTCTTTTCTAAGGAAGCTAAGATTTAACTCCGCATAAAGAAGAATGACCATAATTATTATAATAATTCTAAACATCAACAGCAAAGAACATGAAAGGGTAACAAAAGAAAAGAATGAAGGGGGAAAGAGGAGGAATCAGAGGATAAGGGGAGGTTGGTACTGATTGGGCGTTGTGCCAGGCAAGTCCTCTGTACACGTTAACGGAGAAAGTGGCGGTGAGATATATAGTGGCGACGCCCAGCCCCGCCGTGAACGCTTTGAACGCCCAGTCTCCTACTTTACCCGCAATCGCCATTCTCTCTCAACGCTATGATGGATGATGCATGCAAGCGACTGTACACAAAAACCTGCATCTATTCCAGTTTGAAGGGTAAAGTAGGTATAGTTCCCGGTTGCAAGTTGCAACTAAGCTGGGATCCGATTCCCGACCTTACCGGCTTACGGCTTACCCTCCCCACCCCACGTGACGTCCACGTCCCCACCCATACGGCATACGGCATACGCGCTGCAACTTGGATATGGGCTAGGCCGGGCTTAGGTCAACACGGGCCTAATCCTGCATGTGAAAGCTAAAGCCTGGACTTGGATATGGCCTGAGGTCAAGTCCAACTCCTACATAAGAATATTTTCCGGGCCTGGGTTTGGGCGGGTCTGTTGATCTTCATTTATATTTTCTTTATCGAATAAATTGCTGAAACCTCCCAGTTTAATAATTGTAATTGTTTCTCTTAAACTTTTTGATATAGTTGCAGTAGATTCAGTCATGAAAATGTCCATAACACCCATGCAATTATTATTGAGGCTGGTTTGTACAAAAAAAACAATACAAACTTTATAAATAACAAAAACAAAGAGAATCCAAAGTTGCAGCTTTGCCTTCGAGTGATTGGTGTGAAGGGCAATCTTGAAAAAAAATCAATTTTAGAAAAGAGATAAGAAGGGTCAAGGTTCAAAATATTGATACATCGGTAGTGATGTATTGGACAATATTGGTAGCTTTTTTTTTATTTTATTTCGAATCTGGTTCAGAAGGGCCGATTTAAGATCTGTCCATCCTCTGAATCGGTCAGGACCCTGAAACACACCCTTGTAGGGTTGCATCGAGAAGCCCCTAATATGATACATATCAGTTGATACTAGACCTGTTCATGGGTCGGGTGGTCCGACGGGCCGGCTCGACCCCCGGACGGGCTTGAACAGGCTTTTTGGCCCACAGGCTTAACCTCGGGCCA